AAATAGCCAATAATTCGCAACCGCAACAAAAGACTGACGACCCACCCACGAGCCTTAACGTGGTTACAGCACGTAAACCAGACGCGAAGCCGCGTCAGGCACACCTTACGATCGCCCATAAACATAATTAACCAACGAATCGACGCACGCGAACGCGTGGAAGCGTGTGGCCGCGAAGAGTGAATAGCGGAGGAACGTGCAAACAATCGTAGCCCGGTGGTAGCCAGATAGGTTCATGAGTAACAGTAAATACCAGCTTCCGAATCAGCTGTAGCCCGAATTTCCGGGACTTTTAAAACCCTTTTGAGGTACTCTGGTTAGCCACAATGTTTACAATGCAACTATCAGCGAATAGGGTGAGAGCAAGGGGCCGCGGAGTCACGCACCCGTATCGAGACTGGGCTAAAAACCAGGGAAACCTTCGCACACAAGCACCGATCGCGTGTACATCGACACTGTTCAATGGTCGAGGACTGTGTTTTCAGCGGGAATAACGATTCGTGGTATAACGTATAATTAACATTCGGCGACGTCATTAAACCAATCCTCCTCTACATGCTGTATATGTTTTAAACGCCGACGGAACGCTAATGCGACTGCTTAATAGATCGTTGTTGCTCGTACCTTTTTCCATTTCCATGCTTCGCTATAACAATTTATGTCGTTTCGTGATTTTTGGTTTGAAAGTATTTTAATTTGGATTCTTTTATTTCTTGATTGTACTCGAGTTTCGTGATTAGATTGTTGTATATGTGTTCGAAGAAATTGTATCTAAAGATTGTTAAAACATGAAAATTATGTATATGTGGAAAGTGGTTTAAAGAAAATAAAAGTGGTTTCACAAAGTAAAAGCTTAAAGTCGGTAAATGGTTATTAATTGTGAAGAATTATATGTCGAAAGGTATGTGACGAGGATGACTAGCGATATAAATAAAAATACGAACGACTACGGCTTGAAACTCATCTGTTTGACGTGTTCTAACATATGGGCTTCTTCTAGACATAGGATAGTTATCTTTTCCGATAATTTATTACGACAGCCAGAAATATGTATGAAGTAACTTACACTGAAACGAGCTCGCGTTTCCTATCCAAAATAATATATCTGAGTGAACATATTCTACCAGTAGAATTAAAAATGTAAAAATCAATTTCCTCTAAACAACTTACATATATATACTATTTCCAATGGATGAACAATCATATTTTACATATGAAAAAATACAATTTTTTCACAGGAAAACATAAGATTCTCCAAACAATTACGCGTGTTATGTATACGGTACCATACAAGTCCAAGTCGTCTACACCCTAAAGCTGCCTAATCCAGAACACAATTATTCATAATTAATCCACTTTAAACTAGGCAACCTCCCTATTCTAGTCAACCCGGATCTAATTCATCCAGCTGTCCCCGTTAAGACCCAAATAATGCCGTATGCGAAATTCACGTGTACCGGCATGTTAGCGAGACCACGAAGAGAACATCGTCCATTTAAAAACGCCGGTGTTCGCCCATAGTATGTATCAAACTTGTTTGAATTCGAATCGAATCCGGCGTCTGCGTTATTGGTTATCAGCAACAAAATAGACGATTCTACAGCGCCGAACAGTAAATCTGTCGGCGTAGTCTCAAAATTGAAAGTTTATCGATTTTGCATACAAGGCGACCAATTATAACAATGAAATCATTGTAACATCGAATAGTCGGCCTGTAATGCGGCCGGTCCAGGTCGCGTTGTTATCGCGCGACGGAAAACGGCCGCGTAACTACTCGTCGCTTGAATCATCGGCTGACAAATGGGCCGCGAGTCGCGCCGAATGACAAATCGAAGCTCCAGATTCCAGCACGTGAGGGTGAAATTACGGTGCGATCTGCCAACACCGACTGGTTCCGCGTCGTAATACTTCTCTGTCGGACGTTCGAAGCAGAATCGTACAAAGTGAGCCGTGAGTCCACGCTTAAGAGTGAACCCTGTTGGTGAAGATCACGCTCTATCAATCTGTCCGTAGCTTCTGGTACTCTTGCGAATAGACGTGACTAGACGCTCGATAAATCTTTAGCTGATTCATCGGCATTTATTTGCGTCGATCGCGTTGGTATATCGTGACTGCGATGATTTCGAGAGATCATGATTTGCGGCACTCTTTGCAGCTGTACAAACGTACATACGTTTATATCGATATGTGTTTATTGATGTTTAATACTGTTGCATAATAATGACTGCTGCTTAGTCTTGCTCCATAATTATTATCCTTTTTGCATAAAAATGCAAATCCTCTTGGAACGGGAAGTTTTAATTTGTTTTATATATGTTCAAGATATTTAATATAGTTGGTCAAGTTCATCAATCAAAAAGTAGGAAAAGTAGGTTATTTTTACAAACTTATGGAATTTGCGATTATCGATGTTCGATTGTCCGTGCAACATACGAACTCATGGAAATAAATCATTTGTTTTCCGAGAAACTCAACATTGATTACGCATCTAGACTATGAAATTGAGAAACCTACAAGAAATAATATTAGTAAATCCGGTTTCTGTGTAACAGAAAACTGATATCGATGCAATGCATGCATATCTCATCTTAAAAGTTGTCAACTTTTTTTCTTCAAATTTGAATATGTGATTCATAAATATGCCAATATGTACGCATATTTAACGTATCAGTCCATACAATCGCATTACAGCACTCAGCGTTAAAAAAAAGAAAAATCCGTTTCGAAAGCGTAACTAACGATGCAACAATTAAGAATTCACTGAATTATCACTCAACGAGTAACGCCCAAGTGAAACACAATATACCATGACGTATAAGCCTGTCCCATAAAGTACACTCGACCATACGCGTGCATGCAATAAACGTTTAGGATGCATTTAGCGTTGGCTGAAATACGGCCAGGCCGCGTTTGCTGCGACATTTTAACGTTTTATAAAGATAGAAGATGTCTAACGCATATTGCTTATAGAGAAAAGTCCATTATTTTTAGTTTCCACTTTCGTATTTTCAGCGTGAAATTCTAGCCAGAATATCCCAGCAGTGACACGTCCTTAACGGCCACGATAAAAATAAGACGAGTGGGGGCGAGTCAACCCTTTTCGGCCAAACCACTCGAGTTATCCGCGTTGAAAATACGTCAGCATGAATTACGACCCTCCTAATTCGCCCTACTGGCCGTGAATCTCTCTCTCTCTCTCTCTCTATCTATCTATCTATCTCTCTCTATGTCTCTCTCATCCCTCGTCGCGGATTAAAGAGTGTGATCCCAAGGAATCACGCTTCGCGTCATTGCGGTGAGCCGCGTCTCTTCAAAATGGGGAGGGACAGGGTGGTAGAGGAGAGCGGAGAAAGGTGACGGATCTTAGGGGATGGAGAAACAGCCTGAAAATGTGTCCCTCTCGACTTCCGGCCGGATAGAGTCTTGGAACTCGGCAAGTAAGGCAGGTAGCGCGGAGTAACTTATCGCCTAATAAATTCCAGCCATTAGACTGCGGGAAGTAATGGATGTACCATTTGCACCCTCCAGTACGCTTAGTGGTGGGTAACTCGGTAGGCGTGAAAGGGAGGACGAGATGATGAAAGAGAGAGACAGGCAGGCAAGCAGACAGACAGACAGACAAGCAGACAGACAAACAGACAGAGACGAAAGAGAAGGAGAAGCCGTTGTGCCGGTTTCCTCTCTTGGCTAGACGAATTCCAGATATCGATTTAAAGTTTGGCGTTACTCGGTTACTGCATACATTTAGGCAAAGACTCGATTAGATGTAGCAGCAGCTATCCAAGGCCGGTTGCACGACGCGTTTATCGCGTCGGCCAGAAGAGAAGGCAGCATGTCTGGAAACGCGGTTACCTGTTATCGCTTTCGTGGTAACACGATTTTCGAATTGAATCGAGAATCGATGCCGGCTAGTAAATCAGAAAAGGAATCCACGGACAATTTTCACGACTATTTTATGCGGCATAAAACGTTCACGCAGATAAGGGAATGACGGATAACCGTGCGCAGAGGTTGCGGACCCAAGTAACGAGATACACACATACATACACACATACTCAGCGTCTATCAGTTTTGCCTGCCATACTATCACGATCTTCGCGCTTTAACTGAAATCGGTGGTAAGGTGCCAGTAACAAATTTTCGGATATACTTGTAAAGTCTACGACCAAGCTGTGGCTTCTAGGAATTAGTTAAAGTTTTAGTATCGCACGAAGTTTCTAGGAAAAACGTTGATTACCACGGTACTGAGAACGTGGATGCTTATAACGAATCACAACTCGAAACATCTTATTTGGTATCGGTAAATACTGAACTTGTAACATTACGATTGGAGAGATTTCTGCAAGAAAACTTCGTAAGACGAAGCAGTGAATTGGGTAAATTACGTTAGAAGTACTAAATCTACTTGTTTAATAGTAATTACGTTGAAATTTATGGTTTGAGAAATAAACAGGAGTCTTATAATGATTCCATTATTTGACTAGAAAATGTTAACATTTGTCAGATCTATAAGCTCTTTTTCTCTTTAATTATATTTATACACCAGATATTTTTCGTATATCATAGTATAAGTTTAAAGGATTTCATAATAATTATTGCATATAAATTTAGTTTTATCATTGTTTATCCGAATAACTGGTGACTGTGTATTAATTGCAAGACGTATTTCTAAAGAAATTTACTGCAGTTCAAAATATGAATAGGTTGTGCAGTTACAATAAGGGATCGTTATCTCGAGGAAGGAACATTTGTATACGAAAATACAGCAACATTCTCCAAATAGTTGAAGGTTTCTGTTTATCGGTCGAAAGTTGTTCTGTTCACGAGCTTGATATTCAACTTTCTTTGGTTAAATCGCCGTAGTTTGCTCTACTTTCCATACTGCTACGTTACTTTGGTCAATTTGTTAAACTAATCTGACTGACTTAACCGATTCAATGTAATCTTGACCTATTTGACTTCGATTATATTTATGCTAATTCAACGTAAGTAGAACCTACCTTGGCTATAATTCAGGATATCTTCAACCAAGTAATTTGCATATTACTCCAAATATCTGTAAAAAAAAAGACGATAAATCCGAAAATAGAAAATATTCCAATGTAATATTCAATAGCAGATAGTAAGTCAAGTATGTACAAATTTTAAAAGATTGGTGATAAAAATATTCGTAATGAGATCAAGAAAGACAATGTCAATATCGTCAATAGAGCAAAAGATATCATTCAGTAGACTATAATTGTCCTAACTTTGTTCAAATTTATTCATCATGACATTATTATCACGTATTTAACCATTTAAACACGAATACGAATATGAGTAGCTATTAATTGTTTCGTCTTCTGGTATCTGTTTTATGAAAAAGAAATTTTATCGTACGACTAACTTTTACAATCGAGGATTTCATATTCACCTCAACCTAACGTCGTAATTGCGTTTTGTCCACGCTAATGCCAAAAATCAAAGTTATCGCTAAAAACTCTACCTTAATGCTATCATCCATCAACTATTAAAAAAGTCGATTCCTCTTCTGAAACTTTTCAAAACTCTGCTACAGAAGACGCTCGCCCACGATTTCCAATTTTATCGATGTCCCTTACGGAGAGCCACATAAAACTCGTAGAAACGTAAAGATGGTTAAGCCGCGGAAAATCTTAAAAAGCAGTTACACTCTGTCCCAGTTTCTGAGATCGGTCTGTCCTCACACCGACGCGGTAACGAATACGAACGATCGGGTTGCCTGTTTACTAAAGGAGATCCTTTCGTTAAAAGAGAGGCCTCCTCGACCTTACGTTGCGAACTTTCTTTCCACTCACTCGAGAGTGTCTTCGCAGTTACATGTAACGATCGGTCGCCTTCGTCTTCTTGGCCACCGTTACGAGAGTCCTCGACGGAGAAGTTGCGCAACGAAGGCGATCATCTTAAAGAGTGATAAAGATGATAACTTGTTGGTTAATGATGCGATCCCTTTGAACCATGGGACGAAGACTCGACCGAGTGGAAACTAGACGAGTATGTTCCCGAGGGCTGAATGGGCTAATAGTGGTAGGATGTCTTTCGAATAACGACCACTATTTAGCGATTCGATATCCGTCGAGGTAATTACCGCTGCTGCTGCTTGAAAGACCGATTGAAAATGCGACGTAGCGCTCGTTGAAAACAACTTCCCTTTTGAGACGATTTTACGTATCATCAACTGATGCGACGCGATACCGTATTACGAAGTTCGAGTAATTTCAGTTCCACGTAGAAATATGTCAAGAGTGATTGTTAGGGAAAACGTTGAAGCATCGAAACAATACTGACATTTTCGTGTTTAAAATGAATACACTTGCAGAGGCTGAATAATTACAGATATTATTATATCAGGAATAAGGAGCAAGAGATATCATTAAGTGGAATAAGAAAATCGAAAATGCTTCGCTTTGTTTCGGTAGGTCAAACTTAATTGCGTTTCTGTAAAATATTCTTTACGACTTGCATGTTTCTTTCTAATTACGTGAAAAATATTTAAAGCACAATTTGATTCCTTTCGAAAGAATCATTTTACTTCTTTCAGATTATTTTTAAGATTCACAGAGAATCTTATTGTTTTATCAGCGTTATTGTTTTAACAGCGTATCGGGATACTTTTGAAGAATAAATGTAAGCAGAATCCGCGGTACAGATAGACGTTTCTTCCGGCGTCGTCGGATTTACAGGATTCACCGTGAACAGAATCTCGAATAGAATTCTTCATGGTGGACTGACGAAATTCGTTTGTCAATAAAGCCTCGAGGAATATTCGTTTTATTAAACACACGTAGCTGGTCTTGGTACGGTTCCGTGCACACTAAATATCAAAAGAAATTTCGCCGTGCGATCATTCCCAAAGACCGAGTGCACCGTAAAACCGGGAGTCCATAGAAACGAACGTAAAACGGTTCGCTGTGCGTGGAAACGCTTATCGTTTGAAATTCCCTGCTCTTTTGGTCTTACCATTGTTCCAACGGCCCATTGCTCGACCGTTTCGTTATATGCACCTTAGAAAGGACGACGATTCAAGCAGAAAGAAATGTGCTCGTGATCGTGGAACGACTCGTTCGTCAGTAAGCCGCTTTATCGCATTCCTTGATTGCCCGTTTGTGTTTTTCAAATGATCCAGCTTGTCCGCAAACTCGTGCCAATTGCTTCGTTACGACCATTATTTTGTATATTATATTACAAAATATAGTGGGAAAATCAGTTTCAACAGTAAACCTAACAATAAATTACAGTTGTTAAAATATCTCTAATATCTTCTAGGACTGATGTATTTAAAAGAGGGTATCTATGTAAAGTGTATCGATTCGTAATAACAATATGTGAATTGTATAAATATGTATATATATTATAACAGTAAAATATATGAAGCGTACAGATCAATGGTACATTAATAGTCAGAAGCAGCACTTTCTATTACACGACTCGTATATTCTCAATTATTAAATTTTTTTACGAAAATATCACAATTATTTTGTGTAGTCATTTACATCTAGTCGTTCATCTGGGTTAAATTGATTATATCCTTAAGATTTATTTATGAAGATGGAACGAAAATTGATGGATTTATATCCTCAAGTAAGTGAAAGTAATGGCCAAGAAAAATATTACACAAATCCTTGAGATTCACACTCTTATTGTAACAACCTTAAAAAGCATAAATAAATTACAGTGTATTGATTAAAAAAAGAAATCTTTTTTCAAATAAAACGTTCAATTAACGCAACATTGGCTCTGAGTAAATGAAGAAGATACTTCCAGCAATTGCCTATTTCCATCAAAAGTCATGATCAAAGTCAAATTTAACATTCGCAGCGGTACATCTCGGAGAATTTAAGCTCAAAGTATAACCACTTCGCTATAGGTATCCGCAGAAATGGTAAACATTAGACGAAGACTTATTTGAGAGGCACTGTAGGCTTCGTATAACGAAGCAAATGGTGACGCATGCATACAAATGACCCGGATATACATGGCACTGAAAGATCCCTGCCGCGGTTCCGAATGCACAGTGCCTGTTTGAAAGACTCCCAGGGGTCGTGTAAACTCGGCCGCGGAGCTCGTGAAAGCACAAATGACCGGTAGGGTACAGGTTGACGAGAATCGATCGACATACGCAGGATTTGCGATTCGACTCGGTAACCTGTGGTTACTGTATCACCAAATCGATATTAAAAGAGCCGTCGTTGCGATGTTGCGATGTTACGATACAATTATTTTACGTCCCGAAGTGACATCGTCTGTAGTTGCTTTCGCACGCATCGTGCGAAATCACACGCATTATACACCCTCGTTTATAAGTATTTGGACGCGTCCAAACTATTGCCAATATATCAAATAAATGTACTTTAAGTAAAATTCTTCTATCTAATTTTCACCACTCTCATCTTAACTCAGACAACCATGTGGTACAGATAATAGAAAACAACAGTTAATAGTAATCAGTATAAATAAAAGTAACTGAAAGGAATGAACAATTAGTCCTAATGGAAGACATCCGAGTTGAGTATATTTTATATCATTATCACGAATATGAGATAGTGTGACATCAAGGAAGGACGTGGCGTGAGGGGTAATTGTTTATTAGCGTTGTCAAGATATGTTGACGTTGTCAAAGAGTGTTGTGAGCGTTATCAAGGTATGTTTTGGAAAAAAGTGAGCATGGAAAGCATTGTAACGAGAGTTGAGAGAGTCGGAGTTGAATTTATCGTTGTCGTGTGAAGATCGCTGTGTTGTGTCGTAGAAATAGTGAGTAACGAATACGTGAAACGAGGTTTTATATTCGATTTCGTGTGAGTGGAAACGATATTGATATGATATTGATAAACGATATGAATATAAGAATCTGTGCTTTTTAATTATATCATGGGTAGTTCGGATTGTTCATCAAGTTCTGTAGGTCATAGATGTCCCAAAATTTATAAACGACAATGTACTTGTACAGTTATCTATAGATACAGCTCCATTCATAAATGTCCATATTTGTCTCTGATTTTATGTACATAAATTCTGTTTCTAATTCTTTCAACGCTTTCTCAATGAGATTTAGCGTAAGAGATTGTGAGAGACAAACAAGTAATTCTTAAATTATCGTGTTTAAAAATGAAAAAATTCTTAGATCGTTATCCTACATGAAAGCAAAATTCTGATTGATTAATCGTTGAAATTAATAACCTGAACCAATTATCACACTTTCTATAAAGTCAAAATATGTCGTGATACTTACGAATGAAACTATACATATGCAGTTATATATATACACATTTGAACGCATCTAGCGGTTGGTGAAGGTACAAACATAACCGTGTTGGTGTACAAGGGTTTTCTTCGCTCATTGAGAATTGGTTTATAGACTACTTACGTCGCAATCGCTCCCAGGGAAAACGTTCCTCGAGCCCCGTAGAAGCCCGACGTAATAAATATAACCATAAAACCCGAACCGTAAAATCCAGCGGAGGTGGTATACTCTGAAATCGTATATATGTATGTACTTGGTGGGAACAGGATGAAGAATAAAAAGAGAAAGACAGAGTTTACCTATTGGCACGTACGATGAAAAGATACAGCAAGAATGGTGCGGACAGCCTAACCCAAACGTCTCTACACGTGTAGCGGATGGCTTTTAAAACACCGTCGGCTATTTCGGTTGTGTATCGCGATTCACCGATCCTCACGAAGAAGTTGTACGCCTTCTGAAAAAGAATAGACAGTTACAACGATGCATTAGTGTATTAGGTCGCAGTGTGATATATTTTATTCTGAAATAAAACTTTAAATATATACACAGGTCAACAACTTGGTATCTATATATACATATATTGAATTACCTGCTGATTTTACTATTAATTCGAAATTCGTCCTACCAATATCACCGATAATATCTTTTACTTTCATACAGATTTTATTAACGGGTTTTTTTAAGATTACAGAATTTCAAGATGATCATCCTCTAATGTTGTAAATTTCATGGAACACGCGGTTTCAAAGGGTTTGGTAGTGTATACTTAATTCTATGCATATGAAGCATTACATCGGATACCAGTGACAAAAATCGTCTGAATATTGTCAAAGAACTAATGAAACATTCCTATTTGAATAATTATTTTATTAATTAAAAATTAATTAAAAATTATTAATTTATTTGTTTGATTCATTAAACTTCTCATCGCCAGAATATTCTTCGTTTATGTACATTTCACAGAGCTAACCTTTTGTAATGTACTATTTCATATTTTAATCCTATTGAGATAAAATGTGTGCTTTCATTTCTTTGCGAATATTCTTACAGATACATAGCATCATTTACACTAGAATGTAAAACGATATAAATGCATATTTTGTACTTAAATAGCGAACATGATACTTTACTTGATGGTAAAAGTATTATGATTATAATTGAATATAATTTCTTCATAACTGATATTCTTTTTAAATGAAATTTCTTCCAGCTTAACAATACTGAATATCTATGACAAGTAGTGCCATTATTCGCGATGGTAGTAAGATTTATTGAATGACAAACTTGTAGGACACAACAGTGCAGAGAATAAGGAAGTAGAATATATTCGATAAGTTTAGAACCCTGAAGTCTCTTGTAAGTCCACAAGTTCAATAACATCTAAGGATTTTAGTTTAATACAGAGAGAGAGAGAGAGAGAGAGAAAGAGAGAGAGAGAGAATGAGTTCCAAAACCACGAAGTTCTAACAAGTTCGGGCATTTAACTGACTTCAATTTTGGAATTAATTTTAGGCTGTAGCTAAATTTATCGCTTTCATCGTAAAGAGAAATAAATCGTGAATCTTAATTAGATAAATAGATTTTTAATTTTTATCCTAACTTGTGTATATCAATTCATAAATCCATTAATAAATCTAAAGACACGATCGGTTAAATATAATTCAAGCTACATACATTTTGCTAAAAACTGCCAGTATGTATCCATTGTTACCAATAAAGCAAAAAGCAGATAATTGCGTGTGCTTAATACTTGAAATATGGGTCATGTGGATTTACGTTTTTGCTTGCCGAACGCAGAATTTCATGCACACCATTTCTTTTCTATCCTCAGTTTTATTCCCACAAGTCCATATTACGAACACTAAAAAATTATGTACAAAAATTGTCAATAAAATCAAGACAATCCCCTACATCATCCCTTACAAAAAGATCATAGGTATGATTCCGAAGAATGTCCATTCTCGAATTCTTTCTGTCTCTATCCCATACCCGATCGTCGATGATGTTCCCGATAGTCGAGCATCAGGAATTGCGAAGACCACTCGCTTGTTTGCGAGAATCTTGAAAATTCGCTCGACAGATAGTTAGAATAGTTTGAGACAGTCTCGGCGCCATTCCCGTTGATGTTAAACTACGGTGGCACGCTTCGATACTTGCGGATCGAACAGTTATCAGCGTGTGGAGATCGGTCTGAAGGATCCACGTATAGACCAAGTGTGGAAAAGGACACGCAAAGAGCTTTACACGGCATTCCTGTGGAACAGTTTCGCTGATACGGCAGTAATTTCGTAATTCGTACGCCCGGTGGTGGAGAGACTGGGCGCGTGTGCCCGTGGAAAATCAAGGGAAACCACCGGGGGATCACCTGTGTGTCCCAGTTTCTATTCTCTTGGCGTTGTAAGCTCTTTCCCTCTCTCTCCCTCTCCCTCTCTCCCTCTCTCTCTCTCTCTCTCTCTCTCTCTCTCTCTCTCTCTCTCTCTCTCTCTCTCTCTCTCTCTCTCTCTCTCTCTCTCTCTCTCTCTCTCTCTCTCTCTCTCTCTCTCTCTCTCTCTCTCTCTCTCTCTCTCTCTCTCTCTCTCTCTCTCTCTCTCTCTCTCTCTCTCTCTCTCTCTCTCTCTCTCTCTCTCTCTCTCTCTCTCTCTCTCTCTCTCTCTCTCTCTCTCTCTCTCTCTCTCTCTCTCTCTCTCTCTCTCTCTCTCTCTCTCTCTCTCTCTCTCTCTCTCTCTCTCTCTCTCTCTCTCTCTCTCTCTCTCTCTCTCTCTCTCTCTCTCTCTCTCTCTCTCTCTCTCTCTCTCTCTCTCTCTCTCTCTCTCTCTCTCTCTCTCTCTCTCTCTCTCTCTCTCTCTCTCTCTCTCTCTCTCTCTCTCTCTCTCTCTCTCTCTCTCTCTCTCTCTCTCTCTCTCTCTCTCTCTCTCTCTCTCTCTCTCTCTCTCTCTCTCTCTCTCTCTCTCTCTCTCTCTCTCTCTCTCTCTCTCTCTCTCTCTCTCTCTCTCTCTCTCTCTTGAGAAAGGTTCACCATGGAGAGTTCGCCTGAAAGCAAAGGCACCACGAAGACTCGCCCCTTCGAGCTGGATAAGTGGGTATTAGGAGAGTCAAGGGGTGAACAATAACGCGGATCGGTTAACTTAATAATGGACATTAGAGCGTTATACTGACTGGGAAGAGGAGTAGCTACGGTTCAGTCTGAAACTTACTTCTCGTGATGTGGGTGATTTGCTTCCAAGATTTTCTCCAAGCACTTTGAGAAGTCGACTTTGCCGCGGCAATGAAGACGTTCTCTCTGTCTCACATCCTTCCCTTGCGCTCTCTTTGTCCAACCTAGCCTGCAGCTTTATTCTCTCTCTCTCTCTCTCTCTCTCTCTATCTATCTATTTCCCTTTCTTCTCCTTTCCATTATTCCCCGGTGTACTATGAAACGATCCGGAGTCTCTTTGAGTTTAGCGGTGTCTGATGAAAAGGATTCGAAACGTGCGCCGTGATTTATTTCCGTGTTTCGTTCGTCACGAATTTTAAGAATTCCATAGGGCTCGTCGAACCGATTAATTGGCAAATAAAATCGCATTATTTACAGATCGTAAATATATTATAATTAGGAATTATCGAACTGACGGGTTTTAGCTTTTTCTTCTTCCAAATACAGACTCTATATATTGAGTTTCAGTCAGATAAAAACATGGGATTGCTTTCTAAAATCTCAGTGATCCTGATACTAATTAACTAGTACCTTAGATATACTTAGAAATTAAAGTTTGATAGTTTTGGTGTTAAGCACGTGTTGAAGTTTTAAAAGTGTTGGTTATATAGAGACATCAAAATAGAAATAAATCAGAAAACTCAGAAGATTCGCGAGCGCTATAAGAATTGCCATGAATAAATGGATGTAAGGAATATTCAAGTAGCTTTTATTTGAAGAAAGCATTTGCTTTCCATGAGAGCATATATCGGTATTTGCGTTTATATTATAGGAATATCGTTTGTGCGGAACTAAAAAGAATAACATAGATTTTTGAAAAATTTATGAGAATATATATTTAACATTTGATACGAGATGTTTCACTGCGTTTCATTGGCGAACTCTTGTTGTTGATGACCGCAACTCTTCAAAAAGATAGTCAGCAGCATACAATGCATGTCAAAATATAAAAACGAACGAATGAGTGACGTGAAAATGGACACCCTCTGTAAAGTTCTAGAAACCGATGAACGTGTGAACATACATATTGTTGCGTGTATTTGACAGTTACAGTGTGGAACATCAAAAGCGGACCAAAAACTAAGCTTTAAATTTAACTTTACCGGAGGTACATTGATTATGAATATTGATTAAGTAGAGAAACTAGTTAATAATTTCCGTAACATCGTGCATGCTTATATAATAATATTCCATATTATATATGCATGTACAATAGTTACGTAACAATATTATAAAATAAAAAATGTGGCTAAGGAAGAAGATCGAATTAGAACGTTGCGATATAAAGCAATAATCACCAATAAATCTGAATAATCTCGTTTCCGAGAAACTTGGGTGTTAAATTGAAATTAGGAATATCCACTTGATTCGCGTAGTATTGTTTGATACGTTATACCAGTGTTAAGTATCGTTTGGCTTGGATATCCACTTGGCGGATCGAATAGGTGAAGTGAGTTAATCAGGGTTGCTTAAGCTTTGTTACACTATCTGTGTTCCATTATCACGGAATAACGTGCTGTATCAGTAGGAGATAGCGTATCTGTACTGGCTCGTGTCAGATTACATCGCTTTGTTCGATAGAAAGAAAATAATTGAACGCGCGTAGAATCCGCGCCGATACCAGCGCGATAAAAGTAAAGTAATTAACAGGGCCGCGATGGTATGATAGCGAAATGATTATGTTCGTTCTCGGTATAACAGGGGGTAGGTGACACAAGACGCCAAAACGCAATTAACTTGATACAACTTTAATTAATGTAATGCGTGCAGAGGGTGGAATCGGGGTGTCTTAATGAGGTAAGTACACCTTAAATTCGCGCGACACGCAACTGCGAGCCGTTCGTTGTACATTTTGTCGCGTGACAGACAGACGTCGCACGATAAACCGGAAGCGTAGCTTCAGACACTAGACTGCTTTGCATGCCTCCGATAACGCTTTTTGTCCATTAACGTGATTAAACGTTCAGCTGGATTACCGCACGATCTTTTCCAAATATAGTTTGTGCATGCGCGCGTGTAATCACACGGTCTCGTTCGGCCTTCTTTACTGTAAACGTCGCACAAAGGATACATCGTGTAGTGTCATTATAACGTTAAGCAGTATGTGCTATTTTTCTGGAAATTTCACGTTTCGGTTACGGTACAGAGCTAGTCGAGCTGCGTACTAAGAGCATTTTAATCGTGTTAATGGCAATGGAGTGTAATTTGAAAATTAGACGCGCGCATTCTTTGGAACTGCTGGTTGGGTATCTTCTAAATTC